GCAGGGGCCTTATTCAGAGGGTCTACATCCCCAAGGGTCCCCCTAATCCTATCCCCTAGATTTGGGGAGAGGTTGCGAGGGTTGAGGGTCTTGAGGAAAAAGGGTTTCGGGTTCAGACCTGCTGCAAAGGGGTTTAGGGTTTAGGGTTTAGGGTTTAGGGTTTCGCAAGTCTAGTGTTTGCAGGGTTTAGGGCGTTTTTTGGGAAGCTTGAGGCTTCAGAAAGGGAGGTCCGAGTAAACTGTGAGAGGCTGCATATCGATAAGTGATGGGACGGAGCCTTTACAAGCCTCGAACTACGGGAATTTTGATCATATGTTTACTATGTTAATGTTATGGTTGGCTTCTATAACATTCCTAAGAAACGGCATCATGGATTCCGAGCAACAGCAAACATTAGATTTGCTCATCAGGGTTCCAATCAACCCTAGACTCTACTTGGAGGTTCATGGGTAGATATAAGTAGGGTTACAAGTAGGGTAACGACACTTTTAACTCTCTGAAGGGTACTTACAACCCTACTTAGAACTACCCATGAACCTTCAAGTGCCCCAAACCCCTAAACCCCAAACCCCAAACCCCTAAACCCCAAACCCCCAAACCCCCAAACCCCTAAACCCCTAAACCCCTAAACCCCTAAACCCCTAAACCCCTAAACCCCTAAACCCCTAAACCCCTAAACCCTAAACCCTAAACCCTAAACCCTACCCCTACTCAGAAAGCAGGCAAGAAGTGGAGAGGCAGAAGTCGGAGCTCCGAGCTCGCCTCCAGCTTCGCGCCCCCTGGAAGAGAATTTGGGGTTTCGGGCAGTAGGGCTCTTTGGGCCGTTTAGGGTTTAGGGTTTAGGGTTTAGGGTTTAGGGTGGCAAGAGTGGAGTTTGGGTTGCAAAAGGGTTTAGGGTGGTGCTGGCCCCTTCCTGAAGAGACCCTCCCGATATTTACTACGTAGGATGTAGTGGGTTACAAGGAGAAGCCCCCTAACTATACAAACGTTGGTTAAAGGGCTTAGAAACGAGGAACACCTAGGTTGAAATTTGGCGGGGGGGGGGGGTACCTCAACCCTTAACCTACTGGGCAGCATGCACCTAGGATGCACAACCTATTAGCCCAGCTGTGCAACCCAACAGCCAGCAAGAAAAAGATCGTCAAGTTCTGTTCCGTTCCGTTCCGAGGGTTCCGGGGTGGCAAATGGCCCCCCGCCTCTAGAGACAGAAACCCAACTTTTTTCGGCTGTTGGGAGTTGCCCAACTTAGGGTCTTAGGTTTAGGGTTCAGGGGGGACACCCAAAAGTGGCAACCCAGGAAGATCGTGTGAACAGCCAGCTGGCAGACTGCAACCGCAGGGCAGAGGTGGAGTTGGAGATTCTTGGAGCTGGAAAGGAGATTCACAGAGTTATACTCGGTAGCCCAGTGGTACCCTTTACCCTTTTTATTGGTTCTGGGTTGTAAAGTAACCAAGAACAAAAAGGGTGCCCTTACCATGATATGTTTACTGGGCTACCAAGTAGAAGGTTAAACATACGAGGTTTGGCTTTAGCCTTTCGCTACAAGGTTCGGTGTCAAAGAGTTGGTGTTTCGGGGTATGTTACCTGGTCTTGAAGTCCTTAATCTTTCGGGTTCGAGGGCGGCTTAGTAGCGGTTCTGAGGCTGCCAACGTTGATGTTTGACTTGAAGGGCTGGCTTTGGTTCATATTCTGACGCTTTGTTGTAGGGACATCCTCGCTGTGCACATGACGAGCAATTGGGCTGCGCAGCATCATTGGGCTTCACATCCACCATCAGCACGAAACATGCCCATGACGTTGCGTACGAGTGGGAAGACTAAGAAGGGACTGAGGCACCTGCTGTCCTCTTATATACCAAGTTACGGGATTAGGAACCGGTAGGACTAACAGAAGATGCATCTCAGTGGTAGCCACCCTTGAAGGCCCCTTAAAGTGCTCTTATTTCCCTTTTAATATTACTGTTAGGCTCCCTTGGTACTAAAGCTGCCATCTACAGACCTTAGAAAGTCTACAGGCCTTGGCGTGTAGGGTTTAGGGTTCAAGCTTCTGAGCCTGCCGCAAAAACACCCTCGAAACCCCAAAAGAACCCCGCCCCCCCAAACATTGGTTTCTCAAAATCCCCAAAGTTTCCTAACGTTCCCCAGCCTCCAAACCCTAAACCCGAAACCCCTGGTTTAGGGTTTAGGGTTCAGGGTTTAGGGTTTAGGGTTTAGGGTTAGGGTTTAGGGTTTAGGGTTTAGGGTTTAGGGTTTAGGGTTTAGGGTTTAGGGTTTAGGGTTTAGGGTTTAGGGTCCCGGCCCAGGCGCCGCCTCTCACTCCTGGCCTCGCGCGAGGCCAGTGCCGCTGAGGCACTCAGGCGCGGGGAGTTCCGGTGTCGGGCTTTAGGGCGATCATGCTTAGACACCCTAGCGTTTAGGGTTCATTGTTTAGGGTTGGGGGTGTTAGTAGGGATTATAATAGGGGACACTATAATCCCTACTAAGGACTGTTAGTATATGGGTGTTTCTACGTAGGCTCTCGGAGTATTTCATTTTTCTCTTTTTGGGTTTAGGAGGATCATGTTTAGAAGATTTTTCGGTTTTAAGAGCCATCCTTGGTTTGAGGGTTTTGTCATTTTTGTTGGGTGTTGTAGGGCTTGTGGGGCTTAGGGTTAGGGTTTAGGTGTTTGTGTTTCGGGCTTTAGGGCTAAAGTTTTGCAGGGGTCATTTTATGGCTTGAGTCTGATTGTTTCAGGGCGTTAAGGTTTCAACTTCTTAGGAGGTTTTAAATTTGGATAGTTTAGCGCTTTTGGGTGTTCTCGAACTCTCGCCAAGAATTGCGGTAGATGTAGCCGGACTGGCTACTTAAATCACATGGCAGAGTTGATGGCCCCTAGACGCTCAAAACTCCAGCCCTTAGCAAAGTGCAGGGTGGTCAGTTCCCACCATCCGGCCAAAGTCGAAGCAACATCTTACTAGCTCAGGCATCCAGTCCCACTCCAGGAAGGAGACCCTTATTTGAAGGTTCATGGGTAGATATAAGTAGGGTTATAACTACCCTATGTAAGGTTATAAGCATAGGTCCCCTACTGATAACCCTACTTACTTACTCGCCATGAACCTCCACGGTGTGAGTTGTCCAAGCAGTTTGTTTAGGGTTTAGGGTTTAGGGTTTAGGGTTTAGGGTTTAGGGTTTAGGGTTTAGGGTTTAGGGTTTAGGGTTTAGGGTTTAGGGTTTAGGGTTTAGGGTTCTTGCAGTCACCTCTCGGGCAGGAAGGGCCCGAGCCCCTGTACTGGCAACCCAGCCATGAGGCAAAGGCAGCAGATCCAGGACCAGGCGAAGACCATCGAAGACTTGCAGCACCAGCTGGAACGGCAGAAGGACTGACTTTCAGTAGGCGGTGAAGATGCTGGGTTAGTAGACTCCTCCTTTCGGTCGTGTTTCGAGCAGCTTCGGGCACTCAAAAGCAGCACGAAATCTCTAAACAACTGAGGTTAACCTGGGCTTAGCATCAATTTTTTCGCGACTTGCCCCAACAATGTGGTGAGTGGCGCTTTGCCGCCCGTGACGAGACATCATTGCGCGCCTGCTTAATTCTGCTTACATGCACAAGACTTAGGCAGGCGTGTGATTTCCAAGAAGGGCATATGTTCAAAAGGCCGATTTCGGGGTCACAGGCAGCCGCATCCTCTGTCGGCTTGTCTGAGTACGCCTGTCGGCGATGACGAAACAACAATCTTGCAAAACTGCACTGATTGCAGCACTGACCACGTGGATGTTATCATCCTGCGCGCATGGATTGTTTGGCCAATGGAAGCACTTCCAACATGGCAATGGACGCTATCATCGTGCTGGCATGTTACGCACAGACATTGCCTTGGTTTGAACCAGTGGGAGAAGCGCGAAAACCTCTTTCCACACCTGAAAATGACGAAAAGTGCTGGAGCGTACACGGGCGGGATCGCGCCGCACCCCAACTTCATGACATTCAGCTAAAATTTCTTCGGGCTGTGCAGATTCAGGGTAGAGACCAGCTAGGCGTGCAACGCGAAACCTTCGCCCCCCAGGAGCGCCTCTGGCGGGTGACCAGCGAGCCGCAGATCCGATATGCGACCCGCAAGGTCCGAGGTTTGAGTTTACCTGAAATAGGGGTACCCTCCATTAATACATATATATGTATATAGACATATACACACATTTTCTCTAAATGCCCCCACAACACTAGAATCTAGAATCTCCCAAAAGAAGGTACTGACACTAGAGGAGAGTGTTTAACTCAAAGGCCCTGAACCCTGGATTCCTGAATCCGCTAGACCTTAAGGTTTAACAAACTGCAAGTTCAATATGTTTAGGGTTTAGGGTTTAGGGTTTCGACACCTGCCATCCCTCCCAAACAGGGTAGACAGGCCATCGTTTTGGGTATTCTGAGGTTCTGGGCAGAGCGGAGCTTTGCTTGCTTTGGGCTTCAGGATTTAAGATTACAAGGGGTTTAGGGTTTAGGGTTCAGGGTTTAGGGGGTTTCTTTCTGAAAGCCTTGTGCAAGTGTTTTAAAGGTACCTATGTAGATGAGCCCTGGCTTAGGACAACCCCCCACCTCGCCCCACCCCCGAAATGCGAAATGTGCTGCAGAGGCTTGAAACCTCACTTGCAGGTTCATGGGTAGTTACATCTGGGGTAACTATCATTACAACTGGTTATAACCTTCTTTAGGGTACCTAGAACCCTACTTAAAAACTACCCATGAACCTTCAAGTAGCCCTAAACCCTAAACCCTAAACCCTCCGTAGCCATTTTGGCTCCAGGTACATGCACCCTTAGCGAATCCCGTGGAGCCTTTACTTCATCCTGACACCTGCAGATCCTGCAGCTTGATTGGGGTCATGCTAAGAAAGTACCTGACACGCTGAACTCCACTGCTCCTAAGCCCCTCCTCCATACGACTGAAGAAGGAAAACCTTGAAGCCCTAGGCTCGGCGCCTGAGCTCCAAGATCGCCGAGCAGCCCCTTCAGAGCACAGTGTTATGACATTGGGGACAACGATGTCAGAGATCGTCAACCAATTTGGGCCTGCACCCGGCGCCCCAGACGTAGAGGTGGAGTGGCTCGCGCGGGGTGACGAGGAGTTGAAGGTGTTAGAGGCTCGGGAATGCGCGACCTTGATTGCCGACCACGTGTCTCGAGCGCACCCTGCCTGCTTGTGCACCGCCAACGATGTGCTGCTGGCCAGTATGCGACATCTGCAAGATCTGCCGGAGCAGGCCTTCCGCACTTCCATCGAGTCCATCGGCTTGCTCGAGGCTACGCTGATCCCTGAAGACCTCCAGGCCCCGCCAAAGAAGCCGCGTGTGGAGGAGCAGGAGCCAGCCGCAGCGGCTGGAGAGGAGGGTTCAGGCGAGCCGCCAGCTGAGAACCCAGAGCCGACTTCGTCTTCTGGTATCCGTCCTGGGACCTCTGGAAAGCCAAAGGCAGCTTTCAGGAGGCTTGGGAGTTTGGGGTTTAGGCCCGAGACCCAAGGAAAGACTGGGAAGACTTTTTCTCAATCTTAGGCCACATCCCTAGCTGAACCCGCAATGCAAGCCTTCCTGACTCCCGCAGAGAGTAGGTAGGCGACTGTATCACCTAATTCGCAGCTCCCCACAATTCGAAATTGGACCATGCATCAACTCGCTCTGAGTAAATTTACTTTCCTTACTCTTAATTCATGTTGAGTTGCACGCACTCACCAAGCTGTCCGGCTGGATGTATGGCTAAACGGGAGAATCATGGGAGAAGGGTGTACCTATTCACCGGCCACAGGCGGGCCTAGAGATTATATCCTTGGGTGCTCGGATGACTCTCCCTCGAGATGCCTCACAGCGCGCCCCTCTGAAAGGCCCGCTGATCGATGTTTCCCGTTGCAAGGACTGCACAGCAGTCTACACGCACGCGGGGGGACTTGCATGGGAAGATTTGCACCTACGCCCTGGCCACAGGCGGGCCCATATGACATTTACTTGGAAGTGCCCGTGCGATTCACCTTGAAGATGTAGTCGCTGGCGATTTCAAAGGCCAGTCGGGGTGAGGGGGGGGCCACAGGGCCTCGCTACTCTTAGGTTACTCATGTTGGATACTGTTGGGTTTTGCTAGCCCCCCCAGCCCTAAACCCGGTGAAGCCTGTAGCTGCCAATTGAGTCCTTGTTCTATTGATCGCCCGGGGACCCCTTTGTAGTCCAATTTCTGTACATACGTCCGACACGCGGCACGTTTCAAGCCGCATGAAGGCCGATTGGCAGCCTATATGCACAGGACGAGGGGGAATCGCGAGGAGACCGATGACCTAGTTACTGGCCACAGGCGTGCCCAGAAGCTAATTGCTCCTGTGTGAACCCCAAGCGATTCACCTTTGAGATGCACCAATGTAGGGCCACATTTCAAAGCCCGCAGATCCACGGAGGATGAGCCGAATCGGGACTGAGGACTTTACGGTTGGTTAGGGTTCGAGACCTGGAGACTCGGCCCATCCGCAAAAAGCCATGGGGAGTGCCTGCGCAAATCCCGTGCCCATGACGTTGCGCTACGTGGCTGACCCACCCCCTAGTTAACGTTTTTACGTTTTAGTGTCATAATCTGTGGTTGTCATGTTTGTCGAAGCCTTCCTGAGCCAACAGCGGAGCATGGCAAGGGGAGCCATGGGGTCGAGCCAGCCATGGTGTGGTCGGGCTTGAAGGGCTTCTCTGACATTGTTGTTTTAGTATAGGGGGTGTCTTCCGTGCGCCGTCGAGCCTGACTGGAGTGGAGTAGAGGAAGCTCGAACTTTAACCTCCCACACCTCCCTGAACGGGGTCCGGGGCTTGTTTGTTGTGTTTTAACTGAGGTTGATGTTTTCGGCGAGAGATCTGGTTGAGGGAGGATGCGGGAAACCACTTTGACGATCATTTCCTACCCTGAATGCCCAAGACGATTTCCCAAGGTGAGCCTAAGTCTTGCCTGGGTTCATTTTCGAGTTCTCCGAGACCAACTTAATAACCCCGCTGTGCTGTGGCTAGTCGGGTGCCAAAAAAAACCCTAAACACCTTGTAACTAGCCATGAACCTTCAAGCATGGCATGTCTCAGCCTAACTTCCGGCCGACAGGCCTCCGAGCTGGCAGGAGACACAAGGCGTCAGCAGGTTCCTTTCGTTTCAAGGCTTGGGGGGAGGGTTTAGGGTGCAGGGTTTAGGGTTTACGGTTTACGGTTTTGGGTTTAGGGTTTTGGGGTTTAGGGTTTTGGGGTTTAGGGTTTAGAGTTTAGGGTTTAGGGTTTGGGGTTTGGGGGGGCGGCAGAGGGATGTTTGGAGTGTGGAGTGTATACTTGGAGCTTCATGGGTAGTTATCATTAGGGTTATCAGGACCCTAGATAAGGTTACAGCCAGTTATAACTAGAGTTCCCCTACTGATAACTCCACTTATACCTACCCATGACCCTCCTCCAAGTAGGGTCCAGGGTGGAACTCACGTGGCTGTTGGAAATTGGGTTCGTCCGGATGTCGCGTCGCAAAGACTTCTCAGCCGGGAGGCTAGCCTCGCTACGATATCCCCCTTGGAAATTCTTTCATAATTTTTGTTTAAGTAAAACCCAATAGGACATTAAAAATATTATTGCAATTAAGGTTCCAAGGGGAGGATAGGCTATGTGTCCCCCAAAAGCGCAGTCGTTGCAGCCAACCCCTACCTTAGAGTTCGAAGCAGCAGAGAGATTTAACAACTCAGCACCGGACTTTGAACCACGGTATTTAACAAAATAGGGGTACTCCTTTAAATCCGAAATAGAATGGAACCCCTTAAGGGGACCCCCCCCCCCCCCCAACAGGTTACCCCTAAACCCTAAACCCTAAGATCGGAAACCGCCACATCTCCCATCCCTCCAAAATTGCCAACCTCGGCTCAAGATGCCCATTGCCCCATCATGCTACACAAAGCTTCCAAGCGACTCACACGCCTTAGGGTTTAGGGTTTAGGGTTTAGGGTTTAGGGTTTAGGGTTTAGGGTTTAGGGTTTAGGGTTTAGGGTGAGGCCTGTTGCAAAAGAGGGTTTTGGGCTTAGAGTCAGTCATGTGTGCTTTGAGGTGCGAGGTTGACATGCAAGCACTGCCGAAGAAGGCAAAGCCATGTCAAAGCATGTCATCACATGTCCCTAGTACTCTATTACCTACTACGAGATATTCAGCGACGTTATGCTCTATAATTAATTTCTATAATCTATACAATGTTTTTAGTATGTATGGGTTCATCTATAGAGTCAATGTGCATCACAGTCAGTATATACTGCGATTTAGGGTTGCAAGCAGGGGAGGTCAAAGTCTTCCCGCTGCCTCGCACAAGCATGGTGAAGCGCCACGTGAAGAACGGAAAGTGCAAGGGCGCCCGCAAGTTCAATGGGCCCAAGCAGCCAAGCTGTATTCGGGGGGATTTCTCTGAGTTAGGGTCCGTTTGGTAGCCCAGTGGTACCCTTTTTCCTTTGTTTGGCTCAAGGCTCTCTTGTAAAGCAACCGAACCAGAAAAGGGTGCCCTTCTTGAAGATATGGCGATTGGGCCACCTAGATGTATAGGACCCCCAAGAAGGGGCCCTAATTTAGAGGCAACCCTGAACCCTAAACCCTAAACCCTAAACCCTAAACCCTAAACCCATGTAGTGATTCCGCCAAAGAGTTTGTGCTTTCTTCACCATCCCATGGAGCTTCGGGGCATGGCGCTTGGTAGTTAGGGTTTAGGGTTTAGGGTTTAGGGTAGTTTAGGGTTTAGGGTAGTTTAGGGAGCGACGTACTCGACCATGGGCGCTGGGACAAGCCTGCGCAAAAGGGTAGTTTAGGGGATGTCTCTCATTCTCAGCTCTAAAATCAAGGTACAAGGGGACGGTGAAGAAGGTCGTCAACAACCTGCCCAAGTACACCGCCATGTCCATAGAAGAGCCCTGGCGACGACTGAGCAATTCATGCAACTCCTTCGGGCACTCCATCAGGCTTAGTTTAGGGTTTAGGGTTTAGGGTTCAGGGTGTAGGGTTTCCTTTCAAGGCGGGCGCGCCTGGTTATAAGTCATTAGTAGAGTGATATAAGGGCTCTCAAGTGGGTTGTAGCAATAGTGATTTAGTTCACTAGAGTTAGCATACTACAGGGGTCCCTCCCTGTAAGACTTAGGCTGAAATCCCGATGAAGCTCTACACCTTGGACAGGTCCGTTACAACTGGTGTTCAGGGTTTAGCAGTTCGGGTTTTTGTATCGAGCTCTTCCATTTAGCCTCGGACACTTCATGTGCCAACCTCAATGCTGCTCCCACGTGGCACCGCCAGTCCTGCAGGGAGCATTGCGAAGCAAACAGAACGCAGGCGCCTACAGAACTTCCATGAATGACCAACATGACCAGCCTCATCTCCTGATATTCCTGTTATAAACTACTTGGAAATATTCCTGTTATAAACTACTCCAAGTACCAATTCTCATCACATGGGTCCCTCTGCAGTGACAGGCCTGCAGTTTGATCGTCAGATGCCTTAGAGTCGTCTGTTCTATGCAGGAGAACAAGTGCAGTACTCCAGGCCCGCAGTAGGGGTAGCAGACCCGAGAGGATTATCTGCGAACCCGAAGGCCCTCCTTGAAGTTCTTGAAGGTTTCTGAGATTTTGTAGCCCTTGTTTCAGGAGAAAGCGAAGAAGAAAAAGGCTGCCGGCAAGCCACAGAACATGGACGTTTCTTCGGTGCTTTGGCCGACGTCCTGCACGACATGATCGCATGGGCCGAGCGTCAACATCACACGCCATATATAAATACATAAATAACTAAACATATATATATATATACATGCATGTATATATGTATGCATGTATGTGTGTATGTGTGCATGTATCTTCCGCTGCGTTGGAGCATTCTCATCCGAGGAGCCCAAGGCACCAAAGTTGACAAAGTCACAGAAGCGGGAGAAGAGGCTCAGTAGGTTAGGGTTTAGGGTTTAGGGTTTAGGGTTTAGGGTTTAGGGTTTAGGGTTTAGGGTTTAGGGTTTAGGGTTTAGGGTTTAGGGTTTAGGGTTTAGGGACAGAAATGCACTCCACACCGAGAGGCTTCATGTAAAGGGTGCCGCTATCAGCATTGCAGTGGGAATCTTACCGTGGGATGTTCCCCCTTTTACTAGCAGTCCTTCATAGGGATCATAATGGGGGGGGGGGTACTATAATTTAGTTTTCGCATCAGAATAGGCGGTACCACAATATAGTTTTAGGGGGAGCATCTCAAGTGATACTGTTATGCTGGGTGTGGCTGACATGGGAGACAAAGATCGACGAAGTTGTGAAGTTGTGTCCTCATCACGTGGCCGCAAGAAGCCCCCCCCCCCCCCCCAAAAAAAAAAAAGAAATTATATATATATATATATATATATATATGTATACTTTTTTCTTTCTCTATAAGGCCACTAGAGGGATTCCATTATTTCTGGGGGCTCTTAAGCAAAGGGTGGTAAAAGGTTTAGGGTGCTTGGGGGTTGTTATAAGTCTGGTTATATGCAGGTAACTAAAGCTATAACCTGACTGAGGTTACCTGTAACCTTACTTATAACAACCTATGAACCTTCAAGTAGCCCTAAACCCTTCAAGTAGCCCTAAACCCTAAACCCTAAACCCTAAACCCTAAACCCTAAACCCTAAACCCTAAACCCTAAACCCTAAACCCCGGCTTAGGGGGCTTTAGGGACCCCACACCAGATGTCAGGAAGCAAGCCATCAGCCTCGGCAAAGTCGGGAAGACTTCGCCCAAGGCCATGCCTGCACCCTCTCCCATCTTGAAGGCGCGGGAGTGGGCAGGGTTTAGGGGTTTGGGGTTTAGGGTTTAGGATTGAAGTTTAGGGTTCAGGGCTTACAAAAAACGGGTCTAGGGTTTGGGTTTAGCCAATGCTTTCCGCCATCTAGCCACAGGTTTATGGGCTACACTTTTTTACACCTCTTATCTAAAGGGGGACAACTACGTTTTATGGGTTGCACGGCTACACCTCTTAGCTGAAGGGGGCAATTGCTAATGTCCCTTACGCTGTCGGTACAGAGAGTGGCAAGAAGGACACTGGCTGGAGAAAGTAAAGTGTCTGCACGTTCCTACAGTAAACCCCAAAAAGTTGGAAACCGTTTTAAATGGTTCTGGGATTCCCTATACTTTACTCTTAGGGATTGAGGCTATTGAGTTTCCAGTTTTTTGGCTCCTACTACAAACCCTAAACCCTAAACCCTAAACCCTAAACCCTAAACCCTAAACCCTAAACCCTAAACCCTAAACCCTAAACCCTAAACCCTAAACCCTAAACCCTAAGCCGCTCCCAGTCAATATAGGTGTACAGTACGGCCTGACATGGCCCCGAGCTGGATTCAGGTTTCTTACCCCTTCGGCTCGAAATGGTCTGAAGATGCTTTTGGGAAGGTTTAGGGTTTAGGGTTTAGGGTTTAGGGTTTAGGGTTTAGGGTTTAGGGTTTAGGGTTTAGGGTTTAGGGAAGCCTCGGAGGTTGCTTCGCCCAAGATGAACCCCGAGGAGGACACGAAGATGAAGGTCGAAGTGGCATCTGAGCTTGATTTCGGCCTCCAAGCCTCAAACATTTTTTTAGGGTTTAGGGTTTAGGGTTTAGGGTTTAGGGTTTGGGGTTTAGGGTTTAGGGTTCTGGGGGCTTCCAGGAGAGTTTAGGGCCTCAGCTTGGAACACAGCCAAATGGCATGCAGGCATCTTCATGGCTCGCCGTAGTTCAGCCCTCTGCAAACTGAGTAGTCCCGGGGTCCCCTATATAGTGCGGCACCCTTATTAATAGAAAAGGACCTCAAAAAAAGGGGCCCTGTTTTGGAGAACTACCCAAATAACGCGTGCCTGGTTGGGCCGGTACCAGCATCGGAACAGCATGTTGTCCTTCTGTGTTCTCAGGAGAAGTCGAAGAAGCAGCGAAGAAAGGAACAGCGAAGAGCGATTCAGGTTCAGAAGACCCAGTTGCTCCTTGCAAGCAAGAGGCTGAGGTTAGTTTCCCCAGATAAGGCAAAACCACCCTGAGAGGAGTGCCAATGTTCGTGGTCAGTCCCCTAAACCCTAAACCCTAAACCCTAAACCCTAAACCCTAAACCCTAAACCCTAAACCCTAAACCCTAAACCCTAAACCCTAAACCCTAAACCTAAACCCCAAACCCGAAGTCCTAAAGCAAGCACAAGTTTTTTAGCGTGCTTCGCAACATCTTCAGGATGCCCCCCCCCCCCCTTCGTGCCCAGGAAGAAGAAAGGGCAAACTGCTCACTTGAAAAGTTAACCCGCTGGTTCTTCGTAGTGGTTGAGGGAATTAGGTACCTCATATCTCCCTATAGAATCCTGAAACAGGGTACAAGTATATATATTTATATTTATGTATATATGTATATATGGATAGGGGTTTAATAAGGTACCAAATATGCCCTTGTATAATCCCTGAGAAGGGGTACATAAGTACAGGATAGGTAAAGAACCAGTAGGTTAACTTGCTGCTGCAAGTAGTCTGCGAGATCGACTCTTGCCGTGACTTGGCTACCATCAAGGCCTGGGCAGGATCCTTTGCCCTTCCTTTCTATGAGGTTTACAGGTAGTTTAGGATTTAGGGTTTAGGGGTTAGGGTTTAGGGCGTTAGAAGTAGGGTTTTAAGCACCCTACTTAGAACCGACTTCGAACTACCCAGGAACCTCCAAGGCTTGATGGGACTCCTGCACAGAGGTTAAACCTTTGGCAAGCCGGGAGTGGGCCAGGGATGCCTGGGAGTTGCCCAAGGAGGAAACAAAAAGCTGCGCCAACTCACTTTCGTCATGAGACTTGGAGGTTCAGGGGTAGTTATAAGTGGGGTTATAGGTAGGGTAACTAAGCTTAGGATTTGGGGTTTAGGGTTTAGGGTACTTATAACCCTGCTTATAGCTACCCTTGAACCTCCAAGGAGCAAGGGTCTACCCGCAGGGATGCTCAGGCCACATGAACCTCCGAAACCCGACATCATCTTCTCTTGACAGGCACGAGTCCAGCTTACGCGGGAAAGGATCGAAATCCAGGCAGGGGGGGCTGGGTGGGTTTTTGTGGTTGAGGGGTTAGGGTTCGCTTTTGTTGCACCCCTAAACTCTACCCCCTATGACCCTTTCAAACCCTCCCTAAACCCTAAACCCTAAACCCTAAACCAGAAACCCTAAACCCTAAACCCTAAACCCTAAACCCTAAACCCTAAACCCTAAACCCTAAACCCTAAACCCTAAACCCTAAACCCTAAACCCTAAACCCTAAACCCTAAACCCTGTCATGCTTGGGCTCTGAGTCGGCGGAGTCAGCTTTGTGAGCTTTGCATTGGAGCAGGGCAAATCTGAAAGGGGGACCACAAGCCACCTGCCCAAAGCAAAAAACAACTGTAATTTTAGATAACCAAACACTAACATCAAAAGACATGACAGTAGTCAACAACAAGTTTACAAGGCCTGTATTCTTAAGGAAGAGTGTTCGTGCAACACCCTAATTATTGCTACTATTATCAAGATTTGTATAGCTGCTATGGTAATTACTGTCAGTATTTCCTCAATGTTGGACAAAGTCCGGCGTTGGGCAGGAACATGGCCACGCTCACTCTGCTCCTCCCGGCCCGGACCCCTTCCACGGGAACATCCACGCCTGCAGCGCCTTGGTTGAACTTGATTTGCTACAGTTAGAGTTTAGGGTTTAGGGTTTAGGGTTTAGGGTTTAGGGTTTAGGGTTTAGGGTTTAGGGTTTAGGGTTTAGGGTTTAGGGTTTAGGGTTTAGGGTTCAGACAGGAAATGAGCGGTCGAATGACAGCCCTTGCGAGTGGTGCAGGCAGCGCATGGTTGAGTGAGACACGCGCACAACCCCTCATCCTAGTTGACGGATGGACAATCAAGCCCTCGACGAAACAAGAGACATGGAGTGTTGACCTAGTAAACGCGCGAAAGTGAGCTGAGACGGTAGGGGCGATTTGCGCCCTACGCTCAACCATTGCCGTGACAACTACATGCCTCAAACCGCGATTTCCAGAGCACACTTGACAACTTCAACCCTACGGCTTTAAGTTTGCCCAAATTAGGCATTATTTGTAGACTTGAGACCACAAAGTAGGTATTCTTAGTACACTTGGAACCCTAGGGTAAATGACTGCTCCCCTGTCCACGCCTTAATAGTTTATCGGCACCGACAAACGTGACAAAAAGGTTTTTGTTTAGGGTTTAGTGTCAGTGTTCAGGGTTTAGGGGTTAAACCCTAAACCCGAGATTCAGTCCTCATGAGGTATCATGAGGTGCCCTTTATGGCTAGATGTTCTTTCCACTGCCGCGCAGGGCAACGGTGCTTAGGAACCGCACCCAACCCCGCAAGGGATTAAGGCTCGTACCCCGAAGATTGTGCCCCTCAAAGTTCCCCTTGATATACTCCCAATATGGCCCTTATATGACCTTACAGGAGACTTTCAAGCCCTAAACCCTAAACCCTATTTTAAAGGGTCCCCAAACCCGAGGGTACCACCTTAGACCCCAGTTGCCTTCTGTCCCACAAAGACCACAATACGTGTAGTTATAAGTACCCTAACAGGGTTAGAGTTGGGTTATAACCCGCAACCCTAAACCCCAAACCCTAAACCCCAAACCCTAAACCCTAAACCCTAAACCCTAAACTGGCCCTAAACCTATAAGTACAGTTCTAATTGGGTGACTCAGTACCCTGAAACCTCCATCCCAAGGCATCCTGCTGCAGCGGCGCATCCTCCAAGCCTTCCCTTTCCAGCAAACCCTAAGGGTCCGGCGTACCGCATCTCATGTTTAGGGTTTAGGGTTTCGGGTTTAGGGTTTAGGGTTTAGGGTTCGTTTAGGGGTTCGGGTTTCGGGTTTGGGGTTTTTCATGGGTTCCCCTACTACCCCCTCTATACTAAGCCCCCTGGGCTTCCCCCCCCTAATCAGTGAGTACACTTTACGCTTTTTGGGATACGACACTCCCCTATAGACTGAAAGTGTACACTTTTTTGGGGCTTCTGAACTCAGCGGCTAAGTTCATTTAAGGCTATTTAGGGATGACAAAGCTTAGTTGATAGATATTTATGGCGGGAACCTAGGGGAGGGGTGTAAACCCATTATTATAAACGTGAGCCCCAAGGTCCCCAAAACAGGATGTACCTTAAGGCCCAAACATTGCCTTGATTTACGTCCATGGACCCTTGGGGAAAGCTTGACTTCTGAATAAATATCAGCCGGGACCAGGACACTAACAGTTCTAGCGTTTGCTATCTATACTACTGCCGCTCTGTGGCACGAAGACCGGTCTGGCAGGTGCCGGCAGGCTTACCCGTCAGAAAAGAGCGTCAGGTTTAAAGCTACGCAGGGGCGATGTTTAGTCCTAAACCCTAAACCCCAAGCCCTAAACCCTAAACCCTAAACTTGTTATCAGCTTGGCGGGTGGCAAAAACTTGCTATCAGGTTCTGTGGTCCCTTGAAACTCTCACGCCTGGACTCCCGAAGCGGCGGTTCGCACATCTGTGTTGGGTTCAGCCGAAGTGGTGTACAGGGATTGAGGTTTACGGTTTAGGGTTTAGGGTTTAGGGTTTAGGGATTGGGGTTTAGGGTTTAGGGTTTAGGGTTTAGGGATTGGGGTTTAGGGTTTAGGGTTTAGGGTTTAGGGTTTAGGGTTTAGGGTTTAGGGTTTAGGGATTGGGGTTTAGGATGTACTGGTCAGAGGAACGCCGAGAGTACACTCTAAGAGCTTACAACGCCCGGGTCGACCTCGGCACCCGCAGAATTCAGTTAATGCTTCTCCTGAGAAGGGCGCGGCCGAGTGCTCGAAACGCGCTTGAAGAGGGCAACCTGAATTACCGGATATAGTTTACGGGTTTGAGGACCCATCGTGAAGCTATTTATCCTCCCCCTAAACCCATCGTTTCTGGCAGGGTCACAGCAGGCCAGATGCAAAAGGGGGTTTAGGGTTTAGGGTTGGGGTTTAGGGTTTAGGGTTACCCCACAGCCCGTTGGCCCTGGGTCGTTTAATAACTGGCTCCCTGATCTCGAGCATTGCCACGAGGGACCGACCAGCAAGCTAGCCACGTTGGTCTTCGGGCACTCGATCGGTTCTCCCTGCGCCTTACTTGCGATGCATGGAACTGCTGAGGCTGTCGGCACCAGCATGTAGTTCGGAAGCGCGCCATAGGTACCTGTGTGGCTTGCCCGCATCGAAACGCAACATTTTGATTTTGGGCTCACGCCCAAAGTCCTTTAAACCCTCGCAGTATACATATCTACATACATACATACGCTGTATGCCACCTCAACCCCACCCCTCCCCCCCCCCCCCCGGAGATGTAGCCTGCAGATCTGCTCCCTACAAACACTCTCACTGCATTAAAGCGAAATAGAAGCCTGCGCTGCCAAGACCCAGAGCCCGATTTCTTGCACCAGATACCTCGAGCGCGCGAGTGGCTTTACCAGGAGGGGACACGAGCTCCCTCATTCCGCAGGAAGCACGCGAGGAAGAACTGGGTCGATCAGTGCCTTACTCCTGAGCCTGTAAACCCTTGAGTCAGAGAGTTTGGGGTAAAGCAGTTCAGAGTCCACATAGGAGCTGCATTGGGGGGGGTGGGGGGGAGGGGGGGGTGTACTGGTAGGGGCAAGCTTTGATAGTTGTAAGTGAGAAGTAGGGCTCTAAGTTGCACATGCCTGAAATGACGTCATAACCGCCCTGCTCCTAAGCAACCCTACTTAGAACTTCCCATGAACCTCCAAAATGAATGTGGTTTAGGAGTTGTGAAGCCCGCACGAGAAGCGATGCTTGCAGCTTGGAAATCACTTGTCTTGCATCCACGTGTCATGTTTCCTGGGGGCTGAACTCCTGGACGAGCCGGTGTATCTTCAAGATTCACTTCCGGCCGACTCCGCTTTGTGAGTCGCATGTACAGTATTCATTTACGCTGGCTTCTTACTTGGAGGTTCAAGTTCAAGGGTAGTTATAAGTAGGGTTTTCAGTACCCAAAATAAGGTCATAAGTAGAGTTACCCTTTCCTTACCCCACTTCTAACTACCCAAATGAACCACCAAGTAGACCAAGGGCTTACGCAAGCGTGGCGCTGTTGCCTACAGTTCGATGACTGGCTGCTTTCGCATCGGGGGCTTTGCATGATTGCTTGCTACCGGTACAAAGAGGCTGTGCCTGCTGGCCACTGTCATCCCTAAAACCCCCGAACCTTGCAAGCCCCAATTCCGAAGCCCTTTCCTTGGTTTAGTGTTTGGGCTTCTGACTTATGAGGAGGGGATACTAAAA